GAGATTCTAGGGAGTGGCTATCCTAAATCTCTTCCTCTTCCCATGCTCCTGCTCTGGACTGTGCTGTCTCCTGTCTCGCCCCTCTTCCTGGAATGCGCTCCTTCCTTCCTGAGAATCTGTTGCACTATTGTGCTATTGCAGTCCATCACAGTTTCGCCATATTCTGTCCATACTGTGGCTTCCTGATTTATATACAGGTTTTGCACAAGGGCAATGAGATGTTCTGGGAATATTGCCACAACAAATAATAATTAATGAAGCCTAGCAAATTTAAGAATTGACCTTGGCAACATCTCTGGAGGGTAGACTCTTAATGACAGAATCTCATTGACAGAATCTGCCTACCTGTAACTTAAACCCATTATTCCCTACCCTCCACTCTAGAACATCTCCAGACCTTCTGGGTAGTAACTGTTCAAGCATTAGAAGATGGCTTTTGTATTCTCTGCTTGGTCTTCTTTTCTCAAGGCTAAACCTACCAATCTTCTTCATCTTTCTTCATAGGACTAGTCTACTGATCAACCTTCTTTGAACCCCTTCCAACTTCTCTAGATCCTTCTTAAAGGGCAATGCATGAACTTGACATAATACTAGAGGTCTCATGTGACCAAACTATCTTTTCCCAGTATAGGGGACAATTTTCAATAGTAAAACCAGCACTTGGAAAAAGGGTGGAGAAGATTCTCTTTTCCCACCATGACCAAATTAAAATTCCACTTCAAATTACATTTTTAAAAAACGGTGTGTCCCAACAAACTAACAGCTACATATATATTTTTGGGTCATCATGTAAGGAAAGTCTACTTTATTAAAGAGGATGTAACAGAAGACATACATTAGAAAAACCCAACAGTGTCACAGTTCATTTGGTAATGGGCTTACTGGGGAACAAAAAAGAAACTAGCTTGGAGGGGAAATGGTATGAAGTATCCTGAATGAGACACAAGGGAACTCTTACCGGGAACACTCAATGCAGCAAAGTTTATCCTTAATTTTAATCTTCCCTTTGATCTCATTCTGCAAAACAATCTTGCCATTGCTACCCATGGTTTCCCATGCACATAATTAAATTGTTATCCTTGCTGTTTCATTTCATGCACCTGACATAAACATCATTATCATCAAGTGGTTAATCTTTGACTGGCTTTCTGTTTACAGCAACACGTAGTCATAAATGATCCAGTCAATGCTGCCATCTACAAGGAAAGATCTAATCAGTAATAGGGGACCTGTGACCTCCAGGTGGTGTTGGGATTACAGATCATCATATATGAGCATTGGTGATGGGAGCCGAAATTGTTTGGAGATATAACCCATCAGCATAAATCCCACCCTGATCTAAACAAACTTTCTCCCCGGGTACCTATGTTGGGTTCATTTTTATCAGTGGATGCCCCAGAGATGCCATGAGTAGAAATATCTGGGAGAATGCCCTCACAGTTGCCTTTCTTGAACAACCTTAGTCTCACTTCACCTTCTCCTTCCCACGATAGGTTTTCCTGACTTGATTCTCCCCCAAATGGGTCAGAATGATGGATGTGTTAGGACTGCATCCGTTTGTGGCCAGAGCAGACACAGCCATGGTGATACATGTCTTCATTACATCTAGACTGGACTACTGCAATGAACTCTTCTTGGGGCTACCTTTGAAGAATCTTTAGAAACTGTCCTCCATCCTGTGAGAAGGCTGGTGGACATCTACAAGTACATTATGCCTGCCTTGCAAGAGGACTAGGGCCCGTTTCTTCTAACATCCTCTTCACATTCTAAAACTGGATGGGCTTTTTCTGTCTCAACGATGGAAAATTGGAACAAGAGAAAGGGCCATTCCTAAACGATGAAATCAGCCTTGAAAGACCAGGTTAGCACTTCTCTGCTGGCCTTCTGAAGTAAACCCCAAGTTTGGTCCCTGGTTATCTGCACTTTTAAAAAGACCAGATGGCAGGTGATGGAAAGCAAAGAGGCTTCTGCTGGGCATCATGGAGAAATGCCCAGCAGAAATGTCACTCGTATATCAACCTTCGCTTCTCACACCCAGCCTGAAGAACACTCAATTCCTACTGGCAAACAGGATGGACAATGTCCAGATTGCAGAAAGCCTCTTCTGTGTTTTATTCGAATTTGCTTCTGCATGACGTCCAGACCCATCCACTGTACTTCATAACGTACAATTTATGCATATTGGGGGAACCCAGCCAATATTTCTTCAACAAACAACATTTAACCAATCTATGTCTTAGCAGCAAGACTAAAACTAACACTGAACTGATTCATGATGTGCTTACATAGCTCAACTGGCACCACCATGTAGTTACGTGAGACAGGAAGCTTGGGGAAAGTCCCTAAAGTACAAAATGTAAGGCAGCAAGTTGGGGGAAATTCCAAAAGGCTAGAAGGAGAAGGGAACCCTAAACTAAGAAAAATGCCCCAAATGGCCTGATAATAAGCAAGCATGCTGCAGACATGGAATGCTGGCTGACGAAGGTGGGGAGAAACCTGAAAAATGGAAAGTATACAGAATGAGCATCTGGAATACAGCACAGCTAGAACAAAATCCCAAGCAGGGACATTCCACAGTACCAGGAGTTTTCTAGCACTTCTCCCTTCTTCACTTCTGGGTAGATCAGTGCTTCTCAACCTTGGCAGCTTGAAGATGTGTGGACTTCAACACATGGCTGGCTGGGGAATTCTGGGAGTTGAAGTCCACACATCTTCAAGCTGCCAAGGTTGAGAAACACTGGTGTAGATCATACTCCAATTGGCCACCTTCCCCTACAATCTTCAGTAGCAGCTGAACAATTAACAGCTTTTTTTCCCCCTGGATCAGACATGAATCAAGGCTTGGGGGGAGGTTAGCTTCTTCATCAATGTCAAACAGCTGTGAGCAACCCAGGATTTGTTAAAAGGCAAAGTAAGGCCAGTTCAGGAGCAGCTGCAGCAGAGTGAGCCAAAGACATTTTTTAAAACAAAAAGTGAATTGTTTTGCCAGAGGTCTGAACTGCTCCAGCCGCGCACAACTCACATTGCTACCTTTCCACTAGCAATCGATATTGCCCCTTGGAAACCTGCAGCTTCACCTCCCATCCCTTTTGCAGAAATCTTCTTAGCAGCCCCCTGCTCACAAACTTTTTTAGGGTACAGCTGATCACCAGGATCTACCGCCTTGCGGCTTCCCTCCCAAACATCATCATCTTGAGAGGTTAACGAACATGCCAAGCATGAGGTTTTTTTTGGAGAAGTCCATCTGAGCCAAGGAAGGACGTAAGTGGAAAACACACACACACACATCTGAAGCAATTTTTTCCTGCTCAAAAACTCCATTTCCAGAGAAAAGGAAGGTGGGGAAAAAAAAATACTTGCAGGATCTCATGACAGGAGAGAGGAACTGAACTCCCATCTTCCATCCCCTCTGATTTTACCCATTGTCAGTGACTTGGTTGCTGTCTGTTGACACGATTTGGAACTGGAAATGGATTGCAAAGCTAAACGCTATAAATAAACGCCTGAGCTCTTGAAATGCTGCAACCCAACAAATAAACAAAACTGCAAAACACAGAAATACACGCTCACAGCCTGGCAAAAGAATAAATTACCACTGAATCATCTATCCAGAAGCAGGAACTGCCCTTTATTCTGAACGCTGTAGCGTTTTTCTTGCTAAATTAGAGGGAAGGGGGCGGTGGGAAGACCTAAGCGTACAAACATGCCTACCGAAACGCCCAAATATTTGAGGTATTGCCCACCCTATGGGGTAAACTCCATTTAATCCCTGGCAGCCAGATTTTTAGGAGCTTCCAAAACCCACATTTTGTTTGCCTTTATTAAACAACAAGAAAAATGCCTCCGTCCATTAAAGGAGGGGGGGAAAAAATCAAATGATTGATAGCCGCAATTTTTCTGTTCTGTTTTTATTCTATCCCTTTTCAACCCTTGTTTGTATGGGTGTACAGGGGCATGCAGAACACAGACATGGTGGATTAAAGAAGGATGCATCTAAAATACAGCACTATATTATTATTATTATTATTATTATTATTATTATTATTATTATTTGCAACTGGAAGCTTGCTCCCCCTGCTTTGTAAATGGGAGGCAGATCGCTGGCACCCCCAGCAGCTGCGTCGGTGTCAGCATCTCGACCGCCGTTTCCCCTTCCAAATTCTTACCTTCATCTTGCTAGCAAAATCCACTCCAATTTCTCCAATACAGAAGAAGCAAGGAAAGAGAGATGGGGGGGGGGGATCTTCTTGACGGATCTCTGCACGACTGCACGGCTGCAGCTGGCGGAGGCAGTCCTCCTCTCCCCCCGGCTCCTCTACAGCCTCGGGGACCAGAGCGAAGGCAGCCGTTGGCGAGACACGTTCCAGCCGCGAATGAAGACGTTCTCGGAGCGGCGAGCGGCGACCCAGCTCCGATTGCATCACTGGCAAGAAACGGCGCTTCCTCCGAGCCCCACTAGGGGGAGCAGACGCGGGGCGGGGAAAACAGAACTTTCGGACGCGAAGGCGCGTTCCGATTGGTCCGCTGTTGCAAAGCCAAACAGAAGGCAGGAGAAACCCCGCCGGAGGTTTCACGTGGCTGCCGAAAAGGTCGGCCGTCGCTCTGTTGAGAAGTCGGCTCTGGCGGGTCGGGCTCACCCGGGAGAACTGGCCCTAGTTTAACGTGGTTTATAAATCACGTTGGCTGGCTTTACACAGACCCACGCACGCCGAAAAGAAAGAGACGACGGCTTAGCTCTTCAGTTATTAAATCAAGAATACATCAACCTCGTTTCCGATTCACATCTTCTGTGAAGCTGTGGTTTGCAGAACAGACCGCATTGGCTGCATTCACACGACAGGCTGAGTTGCAACCAAATCTGTCATATCCTGGCTTACATCGGATGTATGAATCCAGTCCAAATGTTTCCATTGCCTTATCCTGTCTCCTAAGGGTCAGAATCGTGCAGGCAGTGGCATTCCCTGTGATGCTGTGTGATAGCACATGCTGGACTTTGGTGCTAGAGAAGACTCTTGAGAGTACCGTGGACAGCTAAGAAAACAAAGAAATGGATCGTTGAACAAATCCCAGAATTCTCACTCAAGATGCAAATGTCCAGGCTCAAATTATCATAGTTTGGACACATTATGTGAAGACCTAGTTCTCTGAAGAAGGCTGTGATGCTGGGAAAAGTGGAAGGAAAGAGAAGAAGAGGACGAACAGCAGCAAGGTGGATGGACCCAATTACAGTGGCAATAGATGCACTGTTGGAAGACCTGAAGGACCAGGTTGGGGACATTTCCTCCCGGAGAAAATCTAAGAATTGCCACTGACTTGACGATGCATAACCATTTTTTTTTTTTAATCCAGTCTCCTAAAACTAAGTTGGTACTCCATCTTCACCTTGCATCAGAGATGGACTTATATGCAAGACAAACTAGAATGATTCAACCATAGAATTGAAAAGGAACCATTGAGGCCAGAGAGTCCAACCCTAGCTCCTTGCAGGAATCCAAATGAAGGCATCTCAGACAGATGGCTATCTAGACTGGCTTGAACCCAACCAGTGAAGGAGAGATCTCCACCTCTCTGGGCCATTGGTCCCACTGCTGATCATGTTAGGAAGTGTCTTCTACCGTTCATTCCTGTAACAAAGGAATCATTCTGTGCATTCAGCACTTTGAGATCATTTGAAGATAGGCTTTCTTCTGTGTAGCATCCTTGCAGGTATTGGAAGAGCCTTGTCCTATTCCCCCTTAAAAATCTCTTCCCAAAACCAAGCATATCCAACTCCTTGCATTCTTCTTCACAAAACTTACTTTACAGTCCCCAGCTCACCCTTCTGCCTTTTCTTGTGGTCCTGTTGCAGTTTGTGTGAATCTTTCTTCAAGTATGATACTCAGAACTGGATGGAATAAAAGTGAGGAGACACAGCAACACAGCAATTAATTCCATACTGCATTAAGGAACATCTCTTAAGATTTCAAAAAGTCGTCTTCATTGTGTTCACTAACCTGTGAGCGCTCCCCTCAGTCTGGGGATCACAGTTCCAGGTAAGCTTGCATAAAAGGCTGGAATCTAAGTTTAGACCATTTTTAAAAACTATTAGCAAAAACTAAAGCTTCGCCTGAGCTCTCTTTTGAACACTGAACACATAACGCCAAGCATAAAATATGCTTCTCTGGAAATAAATTATTCTGCAGTTTGGATTTTTCTTTGTTTCATTCCTTTTTGGGGGTAGGTTTTCCCATCCTCAAAAATCTATGCGGATCTCTTCCTAGCGTTATTGTATGAATTAATTCCAAATATTTAGGGTGCCTTTAAAGGGGTTTTCGTCCTTTTAGGAGATTGTAGGCTGAGAAATATATCCAGGATTCATCCATTATGATGAACTCTGATTTTACTAACTATGGACTTAACTATTGCTAAGCAAAACTGAAACAGAGTTCATACAATTCTCTAAGCCCAACAATGGCTTAGTTCACAAACTCCAGTCTCTTGGAGACAAATGCAGAGCAATCATCCATTCAATTTTTGTGTCCACAAGTTTGTTGCAAAATCACAAAAAAAAAAAAAAGAAAATTTGTGGCCATCTCTAATCTCAGCAACAACAGTTGTGCCCAGGTTTTACCCATCAAATAAATGTAATACATATTATTTATACCTGAACATTATTTCAATATTTTAGTCTACAGCAACATCTGTTCAACTTTTGTAGTTTTTATTGCTTGAATAAAATTATGCTGTGTTCTGTTATTTTCTATTGTTTTAATTTAGTTCAGTTTTTTTTAATCATTTAGTTGTTGGTTAGATCTATACCCCACCTTTCCTCCAAGAGTTTAAGATGACCTAGAGAGCATTTCCCCCTCTGATTTTATCATGGTAAAGATTGGTTGGGCCAAGAGAGCATCTGACTGGCACAAAGTCATCAGTGGGTTTCCATGGTTGATTGTGGCCTTGAATTTGCATCTCCACAAGTCCAAAACCACTATACCACACTGTATTCAGATGAACTAGAATTGCAGGATAAAAACATTTAAGATAAAATATATTAAAGCATTTGCAATTCCAGAATCTCTCCTTTGAATTGTGGAAGGCTGCAGTATTTGAAGTGGTGCAAAAATTCAGTTTCAGCAAAGCAGCCATTTGAACTGATTGAAGTCATCCAGCTAAACCCAGCTCTGCTGTTTCTTTTTTCTTCCATCAGTGTCTTTTGATGACCATCCTCGGGTCTTAACAGAGCAGAAGGGAAGATGCAAATAAGTCTTTACAAGATCAGAAGGCAGAGAGTGAGGGTTACCATGGAAATGTTCAAATAATAAGTCAGCAGTGAATGATGATGCTCAAACCTATTTGGCAACCAGCTCTGCAGGCTACAAAAATGCCATCTAGTAACTGAACTGGCTAGACTGGTTTTGGGGTGAGCTTAGTTCACAAGATTTCCCACCACAGACCATCATTTCAGAGGGTGGGGGTAAGAATCATTAACTAGTTACATTCAGACAACACAGTAACCCAGGGTAACAAAATGTAGGTCCTACATTCAAACCCATAAATGCCTTCATTTGTTGGTGTAGCCCACACAGGAATCAGATGTTGTTTTTATCATGCTGTAAGAATCAGGCCATCATGTTAAACCATTATATGATTTATTATTAATATCACAACAACCTACCTCACCTTGTTTAGGCTAGGAAGGTAAGTAGGGTTGAATTTGGCCAGTAGCTGGATGGAGAACCTCCAAGGAATCTCAGAGCTGTAGACCATACTAGGAAATCAACCAAAATCCAGAAGAAGACAAGGCTGACCACTTTCATACAGGGCTTGAGTCCATATAGGGGGACTCTTTATCTTTATATGAATATAGCAAGTGGCAATGCTTAGCTGACCTTGGCTGATCCAGAAAGCTAATCAGGGTCACAACTGGTTGATATTCAGAGCTGGGTGATGGACCACCACCAGGACACTTCTTAGAACTTAGAAGGGGAAGTCAATTCCACCCCCAAAGAAAGCCATGATTAGTACACTTCATTATTATTGTCAAGGAAATAACATGGACACTTCCACATAATGATCAAGGGTTGAGCTCAACCCAACGGAGGTTTTACCTTTTATACCATGTCATATGAATACTGTTTTGCTTAGGTTTCATTGTGTTTTGTAAATTCAGTTCCTGTAGCTAAGCTACTGCTGCAAATACTGGCTTAGCCAGCCATGCATTGGTTTTTAAGCTTTTTATTGTTTGAGGCCACCCAGGGTTATGTTGCATAAGATGGATGGCTATAAATATTATTTATGAAGTATAGAAGATGACTTCTGCATGCCAGAAAAGATGTAGTAAACTGGCTGGCTTTGCATATGGTAATTTAATCTTAGTTTAGTGACTGAAGCACTACTGCCTTGATTGACACACTATGCTAAACTATAAATCATGGTTCATAAACAAAATATCTGGTTGAGATATTGGGTGTGATGTTTCTTTTTAATACAACTTCTGTAACAATGCTGGGGTAATTAAAGATATGTCCAGCTGGAGAAAGTCTTCAAATGTGAAGGATTTAAGAGAAAGTTTTTGATTTGTAGAGCATATTAGTTTACTAGGATTGCTTGAACTTGTGACTTTAACTTGTGACTTTTCATACGTTAGTTTCCATTAGTAAGGTAACAAGAAGACATCAAGCAAACCACATTATGGCAGGGTACAATGTGTAAACCAGGCCACAGTAATTATTTTTTTCTTTGAACCCTTCAATCTCACAGTGAAACTGGGAGATTTTCCAAATCAGGATTTGAAATTACCTAGCACTAATTCTCATATTTCAGGTGGTAAATGCTTCATAGTCTCTCATTGACCAAGTTGCATCAACTCCAAAGTTGTTTCTTGAAATCTAATCAGTTCTCCAAAAGATGTTGCTAAAGTTGCAGAATAAATTATTACTAGGGGAAAAAGTGTGGAAGGAATAAATCAACCAAACCTGAGATTTTTATTTGAAGGGCTATTTACTGCAGATAAATATTGTGATCATTGCTTACACCCATTGTTCCCCACTCCTATTCTGCTGCTCCAGATGGGCAATTCAAACTTCACTTCCTTCATTGAGAAGGAAAGCAACTGAGCCAAGTCTTCCAGAGTTGGTCTAAGAAATCCTGGAAACGCTTAATCCCACTTATACCCTCTTTTTCTATCCCAGTATTTGCTCTGTCATCTACTTTTTTTTTTCCTTTAAAACATCTTGCTTCAGAATTTTGTAAAGAAATCCTTCAGGATTGATTCCAAATGGCACAGTGAGTCAGAAAGTGCCAACCAGGTTTATAGTTTTGAGTATGGTGATATAAGCAGAAGCACACCAACAGTATCTCTCTGGGTTTTTAATACATCCCCTCCCTTCACACTACTTTGTCTGTGGAGTGATCAAGGTACAAAAGGAAAAAGAGACACATGCAAGGGGAATTGGTTGATGGAGCAGGCAAGAGCATATAGATAATAGCGTCCTACTAGCCATCAGAAGGTTTAAAGCAGACCTGCACAATCTGGAGTCCTAGCATTACAAGTAGTCCCATAAACTTTAGACTCCTTCCAAAACTGCCACAATTTTAATGCGGAAGGAGAAATTATTAAATGATTTATAATTAAATGTATACCCTACTTTTCTGCTTTTAGAAGAATTCAAGGGAGCTTAGAGCTGTAAAACTAAGCACAAAACAGAATGCAGGGCAGCCAAATCACTAGCCTTGAAATCAAGATCATTCTAATCAATTAACTGCTTGGAAAGAGATGTATTTTGGCTATTTTCTGACTGCTGGAAGGGTGGGAATGAAACACACCTCCTAATGGAGTCTTTTCCCAGCCTGGAAGTGACAGGTGGCCTTCCCATGTATCAGATAGCTGAGCTTCTGCAGCAAGGCATCTTCAAAGGGCTTCTCAAGTTGCTCTAAGTCATCAGGCAGTTAATACTGTAGGTTGATTAATGGGTTTTGGCCCAGCATGCTCATTTAGCATTGTGACAACTGGAGATCTGACAGCCTTATAAAGGAAGTAGCTCTTAATGGGCAGAGATTTAAGGACCTTTGAAGGAGAGAGTCTATTACTTTTCATGACTGTGCCTGGATTCAGGAATGAAGGTTGAGTTTTTATTGACAGTGATCTAAGCCAGTGTTTCTCAACCTTGTCTACCTGAAGGTATGCTGGCTGAAGCATGCTGGCTGGGGAATTCCGGGAGTTGAAGTCCACACATCTTCAAGTGGCCAAGGTTGAAAAACACTGGTCTAAGCTAATCTTTGCAGCCTTGAAGATCCAAAATGCTTAGGAATTGTTTGTTATAATGGTAAGAGATCTTAATGGTAGATAGGTTAGGCTTCACAAGCAAAATATGTAATAAATTTCATGGCCCAGTAGATATGAATCCACATTCACCTGCACTGGTATCTTGGGGGTTTGCCCCCCTTAATTCATGGTAAGTTCTCTCTGGATCAGGACTTTAACATCTGGCTGAAGAAAGAACTCCACAACTCAAATTCAGGATTCCCTTAATCAAGATTATCTTCTCCCCAAAGGAAACAGTGACACAAATTTGTATTTGTTAACAAGGCAAAAGCTAGGTGGGCAGCCAGTATCAGGGAAATAGTAAAGGGCAAATTAAAGGTCCATCCTGCTCAGGCTAACACGCTGAGACTATGTGCTTCAGATCCTAGCAAGCCCTTTCAGTGGTTCACACAAATGCCCAAATCAGCTTTTTTGATGAACAAAGATTCCAGATTAGGTTGACATAGAGTCTGAAGTCACCCATGCGCTCCCCCAAAATATAGTTTGATTTTGACTTAACAAGTTGTGTGAATCAAGCTGTTATTATTTCAAAATCATGATTTTGACCTCCCACGGTTGAGAAACACTGGTTTAAACCATCTTCACTGATGAATAGGGTAAGTGATGGCTTACGCATGCCTCTCTTTTTTGGTTTTCCAATCGGTCCTGACTACTGGTGACTACAGGGCAAGTCCATGCAGTTTTCTAGGCAACATTTTTGGAAGTGGTTTGCCCTTGCCTCCTTCCAAGGGCTGAGAGAGAGGGACTGGCCCGAGGTCACCTAGTTGGCTTTGTGCCTAAGGCAAAACTAGACCTCAGGTTTCCCTGTTCTTGTTCATCACCTTCCTACCTAGATGTAAAGAATGAAACTAGATAAAGTGCCATCTGTATCTAAATCTATAAAGCTTAAGAGACCTCCTTTCCTAGCTAGTAGGAAAAATACCACATTTTAATAGTCAAGACTTTTTTTTTAAATGACACCATTGGCAATTAGTAGAAAAAGTACCCATTTATTCAAGGTATGACAAGTATATTTACAATATATTTTCCAGAACAAGGTCCTTATGTGATTTTTTAAGCAGCAATCAAGAATTACATTTCAATGGGGAAATCTTATTTGTTACAGAAGATATTATTTCCGTAAATGATTACATCATATGAATCTCAGACCTAGACATGCTTACTTGGAAATGAGCCTCGTGAACTGCAGCACAATGATTCCCAAGTAAACAAACATAAGATAGCCTTAAAGTTAAAGAATCATCCAGTCATCATCTTCTATCATAATACCAATGCTGTAAAAACTGATTTTCTATCTGCTAAGGGGTAGCATCTTAGAAGTTGCAAGTATTATACTTTGCTCCCTGGCTGCCTGAACATAAACGTACAGATGCAGCATGCTTTATCCGCATAGCATAGCAAACTAGTTTGAACCAAGTCAAGTTCTGTGGACCCTTCCTTTCTGCGGAAGAGCAGTGAAAGTGAAATATCCTATCCACTCTTACAACTTTCTATTGGTTCATAAGCAGCTTTACAGGGTTTTGTAGAGTGTTGCAAAACAAGTGAGTAGTACTTGATGCTCGCATTCTGCTCACTTAAAAACTTTGACAGTGCTTCTATTTTTTTAAAAAAAGGTGTTTTGAATTTTAATGTGAAACTCAGAAAAATAAAAGGATGCCTTCTAAACCAGGCAGTGTAAGAAGCAAATTGTCTTCGCTTTATTTTCTAGAGCACCATGGCGTCTTTACTATTTAACAAATGCCTCACCTACATTTAAGTAAACTAGACTAAGTCATCAGAATGTTACATGGGTATGATTAATTGAATGGTGGAGTCAGACAATATGTCTTGATGAGATGATGCCCAGGCATGACTAGAAGCAATGTCTTTCTCTGCTACCTTCACAATGTGGAAAAGAAGCAGAGATGGAAAGTAGATTTTTATCCTGATTCAGTAAGAATCCTTCTTACTTGGTAGTGTGTTGCAGAATCAAAGTCTCAAATGGAACTCCTCATTGTAAAAAGTAAGGAAGATAATTTAGCAGCCTGATCCTTCTGGAAAGAATCCTGAGGTTGCAATAACATCTGAAAAAACCCAATTTATAGCTCTAGGAATAATATGTGTGTTGCTCCAAATTTTAAGCATCTCTCCCATGGTACAAACTCCAACTGAAATGGTTTAAAATATGGGAGTGACTTAAAAACTCTCTTCTATAGCCAAAATATCAAATGGGAATTAGAGCGTATATAGCAAAGATGCCCAAGGTTTATTTCTTGAGCATGACCTATACAACGCAACAGGATTTCCTTTTTTAAAAGATGATTACAGCCAGAGCTTGCAACTTAAAACAACACCCCATTTTACCAGTGTTGTAGGTATAATTAGATTAGTTACATCTATTTTAAGACTGGAAACGACCAACCTCAGACCTGTCTAGAGAAAAAAAATCCTTTCTTGAGAAATACTTCTCCCAAGATGAAATCAAAGAAATGGGATAGGAGCACATCAAACATTCCGTCATGTAATATTCCAATCCTGAAACGGGATGTTCTGAAAGTTTTTAGAAGTGGCCCAACATCACAGCAGGCCCGCTGTGAGATCAAACTACTCCAGAACACAAGGACCATTTGTTTCAAAGTTGGAATGGCCTATTTTGAGATCACGATCGAACATTTTTCATAACTCCTCTAAAATAGGGAAACTCATGGAAAAATTCAAAAATGATTTTCACAGCTTCTCAAAACTGATTTGTCTCATCATAAAGATCATTTAAAGAAACACTTACTACATTTTTAAAGAAAAAAACAGTTCCTATCATCGGTTAGTAGTAGGCTAGTGTTTATTCACTCCGAGGTGATAATGTTTGTCTGGCTGTTTGAACCACTGAGATTTAAACAAACCAATAGCTTTGCATTAACATGCTGCTTCAACAAAAATAATGTTAGGATAAATTTAGGGTCAAGAACCACTGCAAAAAGTGGTAGAAAAGGAAGAATGTGATTTTTCCCGCTGTGTAAGTCATTCTCATTTCCTCTTTTGCCAGATCAGTAGAATGTCCATAAAGGTTCTGAATCTTGCCATTTGTAGCAATAGGAATTGTTTCTAATAGTCAAAGTAAAAACAAATTAATGTGCCACTTGATCAAGGCTACCAATATAATTTCCCGAGACTTCCCAGCAAACAATTGACTTAGTTATTTGTTTGATGGTTAGAAAAAGTTATTTACACAATAAGTTAGCTTTGTAACATGCTCCCTCAGAATAAGAATAGGATGCTTAAACTCAGTGCTTCAAATCTAGCTTCTGGATGTCTGACAGGTGCGTTACCAGTAAACAAAACATGATGCTTCATGCTTTAGGACTTTAGGCTGGCTACAACTAACTAAATCAGAAACAAGATTCAGGATCGAAATGCCCTTGCACAAGTTGGCTAGCTAGGCAAGTCCTGTTTCATAAACTGTGTGAACATCATGAAACAAAGCAACTCACTTCAGGAGCTAAACATTATGTGCACACAGTTTATTCAATGAGAAAAGGTTACTTCTTGTTTCCAATACTTACCAGTCATGTGGATAAAGGAGTGTAAAACGGGTTTCCCCATTCCCTGCCAAACCAAACATTTATCAAACCCAGGAATGGTTTAAGACTGAAGTTCAGTACAAAAAAAGTGGTTGTTTTTTGCATATTCCAAAGGTAAAGATACCATTAATGAAAATTTACATTTGGCTTTAAACATTTTTCTACAAAGATTTATTTCAGCATCTATTTACAGAGAGATTTATACAGCTGAAGCTGTGTGATGAAGTCTTCTGCTATTGTTAAAAATGAGAATCCATCTTAAACACCATGTGAGTCATGCTTAAGGAAGCTGTCTTGCTTTCAACAGAAGAAACATTTGGGAGATTTTTTTTTTCTTCCAAAGAGGGGAGGAAGTGGGAAATTTGGCAGGCAGGAAGAAAGAAGGGTCACACCTTACCAACTGACCCTTGATCACTCTATTACACCTTCAGACATAGGAGGTAAAAATTACAGGCACTGTTAATTCCATGGGAGGTTTGCTGCACTTAGCTTGTACTCCAAAAATACTAAGAAGTCTTGAATAGTTTTAATATTTCATGACTTTTTCTTCAGTTTAGTTCACAGCATTCCTGGTGCTCCAAGTCTTGGGTTGCAAATTTGCTTCCTTTTTTTTATATACTAAATATGTTTATTGTATACTATGGTGTAAATTGGAAACTTACTTCAAAGACCATTACAAACGTTGCCTTTGTATTCAACAAAATTGTTGTGCTGGACTGACTTATCTTCAGGAAGGCTTTATAAATAATATAAATTTAGAACCAGTCTTCAGGACCTTTGTCAATCATTATACCATGTTGTTGCTTTCTCCAGCTTTATCTACAAGCTGTGGGCAAAAAAGACAAAAAAGAAGGTGGGGTAGGGGTATGGAAAAGAAATGGTAATTTAATGCATTCATTAAGAATGAAACACATTGATGCTATTTCAACACTATTCAGGCACTGTTGCATTTTAAGTGAGTGACTGGGTGTAATCTTATTCAAATAATACTAACCAAGGCCTTATGTAATTTACACAGAAGTAAGACCATCTGCATTACAACCGCATTTAGGCATGGTATGTTTTTATGTTAACACAGAGCAACATGAAGATGCAACAGAATGAAAAAAATAAATAAGAAATAATGCAAGTATAAAAACTGTTAGCTCGATAACCCAAAGGGGGGAAAAAAAGAATATTGTTTTGAAAAATAATCAGCCATTCATGCATTAATAGACTGAAGATGATATTGTCAACTAACCATTACTGGGAATTGTCTCCTGAGCCTACGCAGGCTTTGAAGAAAACATCAACAATTAACTTTTCAAAAAGGATTTAACTCCATAAAATCCAATTTATAAATGATATTGATACAGAAGAGCAATAAGCAAGATGTCAAGCCAAATTATGAACAGACTTATTTAAGTAGATTTAATATGAGAAGAAAACCCACCTGTATTAACTAAGTTTTTGAACCCATCAGACATACTGCTGCATAGGAAACTAGAGGCAGCATGGGGGGGCTCAGTGACCGCTGTACCAAGACAAGCATGATGCACCAATCTCTGGCATGGCACACTGTTAGGCCAAGAAAGGGCAGCATGCTTCTCCTAGCCTAAACATAATTTCAGCCACATTCTGAAAACATGGTGCAATTCTATATATTTAGCAATTAGATTTTCTCAATTTATAATGCACCCAAACAGCTATAAGCAAATGCCAGCCATTGCATTCTTAATATTAGACATGTTCAGGAATGCAAAATTAAAAAAAAGAGAGAGAGAGAACAATCACAGGCACAAAGAAATACGTCAGCATCTGCAAGGACGACACCATGTTCTTTTACGCACACAGACCATTTTAAAGATATAGGTGGGCAATAGGTAGCCTTTGGCCTGCCAGATACCCATATTCCCTCCTGGCAACTCCCCCTACCACTGGATTTCTCTTCACCAATATGCTGCAACATCAACTTGCTATTATTTGACAAGCTGTCTGGAGCACATTTTAGGTGGGAAGATTGTCCACCCTTATTCTGTATCTCAAGAAACCATTATGGCCAAATTAGGGTGTGAGATGCTAGCAAAAGTAGCAGGTAAGCTGAGGAGATGGTTAAGTTCTCTCCTTCTAATTACCCTTGAACAACAGGACCATTATATGTGTTTGGTTTAATTTACTGCTCCCCACAGTCTTGGTGTATAAAATAGGAAAAATAATGTTCAGAATAAAATGGCATGTGGATTAACTATTGTGCCTTTTCTGTTGCTCAGCTGTTTCCCCAGCTGCCTCAAGCAACTTTTCTACAGTAAAACCCTTTCTGAATGTGTTAAAGCCTTCTTACATGCAGGCAGGGCATTCCGAAGATTGTTCTCAAACACTCTCTAAATGTTCCCCGTTATTGTGGGGAAAACAATACACCTTCCAACATACCACAAGCCCATTATGAGGAAGATCAATACTTAGCTGTCTTAGAGAAAAGTTTTTCTCTTACTGGCTCCTAACTGTCCTTCTCACTCATAGGCCCCCAATTAATTTAAAGAATGTTAGGTTGTCACCTCAAGTTGGACCTGGAAAATCATTACAGCCACTTCTCATTTAGGGACTACCTCAGTTAGCAACCACTTGCAAATACGACAGTAATAAATGGTAATAAAAAATTCATTTTCTGACCAATACGTGCATTTATGCCAAATTTTTGCATAAAAAACAACAAAAGTCTTCAGTGGGAAACTGATTAAGGTCTGGTCAGTTTCAGACTGCAGAGCAAGCCAGGGGTAGGGTTCTAATCAATTAATTAAAGTCACAGAGCTGAGCCTGTTAACATGGGGTTAGCACTTTTTAGGGAAGTGCTATGAGAAAAGGAGCTCAGGAAGAGATAGCTTGTTTAAGCAATCTCTCCACCCTGCGAGGGGGCAAAAAAAGGGGAAAAAAGGGTCAGGCACAGGACACTGTACAAGAGAACTTTATCTGAATGACATGGAAGCAACCAGTGATCTTTGCAGCGTCTGTGTCACATGTTTGCTTAGCGACCATTTTGCTTAACAAACAAGTAATTGGAACAGCATGCAGTCACTACATGAGGAGAGGGTGTAATACTTATTGCTAAGTTTAGGAAAAATAGTTTTTAAAAATATATTAAGCTTTATAAATGATAGGCACAGTTCTGTGAAAAAGTATTTGACTCTTTCAGATTTTTATCAGTGTCATTTGTTTACTCAGATTCCCTTTATATACCAGGAAGACCCACACGAAGCACCGACAACTATCAAGTGGCAAAAATGTGCAAACATTCAGAAAATTTTAAAGGAGGTGAGTAGTTTTTCACACAACTGTGGTTTATACTGACAAAGTGACTTGAGTAAATCTGATGGATGCTTTACATGTGACATGACAACCTATGGATATCAACGATGTAATATTAGAAACAAAGGACTAATCCATTTCTAGACCAAACCTGCTTTTAACCTTAACCGTGATTTGCTGGAGAAGCTGCAAGATAACTAAAAAAGAAAATGTGGGTGATTGCATGAAGATTGTCCTAATACAAATTCAAGTAGAGAAAGAAACTCAGGGGTACAATGATGTCCCCTTCTGACCAGAAACTTAGGGAGATGATGTCCAAAAAAAATCTGGAGAATATAAGGATAGGGAAGACTGGCCTATACTGACATAGAGTAATTTTGAATCCTGTTGATATTATGTTAGATTATACTACCTGCAAGCAAATATAAGCATTTGGTGACCCATATTTTGAATGCATCTCTCTGTTACGTGCCACTTATTGGTCCAGGTTCTTTTAATGGAATCCAAGAAACAGAAGAAAAACAAAACCTGCTATGAATTATGTGAAATTATTTAATACTTACTGAGCTTATACCAGGTAAATTCAACAGATATCCAAGAACTGGCACTCTTCTAATAAAACCGATCACCACAGGGAAAAAGCCCCTTTGAAGAAAAAATATGCCGCAGATTAGAAGGATTTTCCAAACTGGCTCTCTTTACACATTTCTAAGATGTAAAAAAATAAAACTACTCATTTTTTATATGAAGAAATATAGAATTCCTCACATGGCATGTATTCTCCCCATACAGAATGAACAAGAGACCATCTCCAAATCTTTACATATTTCAGGTAGTTAGCTGTACAGTAGTCCTCCCTTACCGACCACTCATTCAGTGACCATTCAAACTTACAATGGAAATGAAAATAGAGACAACCAGGCCTCAAAGTTGTAGCCATTATGGTGATTCACTTAACAACCACAACAGGAACTGATGTAAGTCAGTGTGGTCACGTGATGTTGCAGTTAACAACTGCACTGTTTAGCAGTTGTGATCAGTAAGTGAGGACTACCTGTACATACTTACATGCTTCCTGACTAGTTTTCCTGCTTCTCATAGAGAAATAAAAACATTTAAGTGACATGGACAGGACCACTACAAAATTAGATACAGCCACCTGCTAAGAAGAAGAAACTGCTGACTGTGGCTTTTGGGAGAAGTCTTCTTAAATGGTGTATGAAGACACCATAGTTGGGTGAACACTAATCATTCTGAGGCTCCACACACAATTTTTATAGATACAGATTTAGGGACATGTGACTGGGCTGGTTAACTACTAAGATGGACAGGGGACCTTACTTAACGTAACAGGCTCTGATGCTTGGTTCCAAAAATTGGAAGGCAGCACCCCCTGCAATTGGAGATCCATTGATCAAGTGCCTTTCCCTCTCCCTTGACATCACAGTGTGATACATTTAAGAGGATCCTGGATGGCAGGTAAATCTACTTCTATTAGTCCTGTTGCAGGTACCTAAATGTGAATTCTCTCCATTGCCACCTTACATGGAAAACTAGTATTCAGTACAGAAAATTGGAAACATTTAAAGGAAATGTGAACTCTCAGAAGATGATTGCAAAAGTAAGTTACTAAAACAAGCAATTCAAAATGATTCACAAGAAAATACGGATGCTGTAAAAAACAGAACAATAGAACCATTGCATAGGCAGTTGGGAAATGCTCCTTCTTCCCCCAGCTGTTTGGCTTTGGAAATCAATATGGTGCATGCGCTCCATGTGGGTATGTGGATGTGTCTGTGAATGTGAAAGAAAATCAGCCTGGGAACAGATGAGATGCTGCTGCAAGCATGGTACCATCCTGTGACCCTAGAGGGCTCATGGCTGGTCAACTATTAGCCAGTTCCTTCTTTACATTGAGATGATATCCCTGACTACAATTAAGGTAAGTTTTTTCAAAAGATATCATGAAAACAAACTCGGGTTAAGACAATCCTTCACAACAACTCCTGACAAAGGTTACACCACAAGCCAAAGAATGACATGCCTCAGAATGCCATGTAAGATAGGACTCAGAAGCAATAGCCAGTGGGGTGGTTCAGATTTTTTCTGTTAACTAAAGACTGGTAACTGGAACAGAAAATATAAACGGTAACCCAATAAATAATATAAGAGTTGCTAAAATGTTAGAAGGCTTATTTTCACTTCAGCATGGAGCTCACCATCCAAGTGGAACCTGTACTAGTACTCCTATATTTGCAGGCCTCTTAAGGTACTACAGATTACTGTTTACAGTATTTATTTATTTGTTGTAGCAATCTAACAGTGCTTCTCATAAAGGAAATTTTTACTGTTTTTATTATTAAACTGCTTGAGTTACAATATAGAATGGTAGGAATTTTTGAACCTAAGCAGCTCATTAATCATTTAATTACTTTTTAAACCTTTATGTGGTTATATTGTCTCTGGCAATTCAGATTTGTACTGTACAATTAATGAAGCTACTGTCATATGGCAAGTGACATCAATGAACCTACAAGGCCAAGAACAGTAAAAATTTAACCAAGTTAAGGAGTAACTTTAATAAAACATGCCCCAAGGTGAGCCTATACATCGTTATCCAACAAAGATTAAGGAATGAACAAATGCAAATGCTTTATTCCAATCAACCTGTATTGCAATGACTATGAAATTAGAAACTGATCCATACATGCTTGTTCATGTATCTGCAATCATGCATTAATCTGCAAGTGTGAATAAGTCATCACAAATCAAACACAACCAAAGTTATCTTCAGATAACTACACTAAAGATGAGCTGTGATTCAGATCCAAAACTGAAAACCCTACCCACAATCCATGCTAGCGTGCCTGTTGAGATCTCCTTAATTCAAATGTTTATTCTCCTGGGATCACACAACTACCATGAGGAGGTGCTGAGACTCACACTTACTCCAAAATACTTTTTAGCTTCAGAACCAAGGCAACAGCACATTCCTACTTTAAACATGCTGCATTTTTTAGACAGCATATTAAATAACAGTTAAGAAGATTTAAAGTTTAACATTAAAGCCAAAGAAACCAGAGGTGAAGTGTGGAGGCAGAAAAAAATGGAAGGAACAAGCTATTCTACAATGATGATTTGCCTGTCCATTTTCAAATTGAAACCTGGGGATTAGATGATGACTGAATTAATGCCATGTTCTTCAGTAGAGGCACCATTGCACAAATCATCTAGCAAATTCTAACTCTGGTCTCATTAAGAAACCATGATCTGAGTAGCTCTTAAGTTATACAAATAGCTGACCTCAATGTACAGACTTGTTGGTTCACAATCTGGGAATATGACACTGGGATACAGAATGAATTCAACCTAAATTCAGTCAAAAGCATCTTTTTGTTTGGGAGAAAGGCCTCCATTCATTTTAAGAGGTGGTGGAAATATAATTCAGCGCAAGAGACTGACTTATTTACATTTGTCTTTCTGGTGCAAACCTCACTTTCTTGATCTTCGCCAAGATCAATTATCAGCCCAGAGAGTAATCCACATTAACTAAGCTCCACATTAACCAGTGTTTAGTAACCAGTTTCAAACTGTGCTAAGGAAGGATGTGAACACAGCATGGGAACTTTTAGCCCAAATACAATAGGCAGAGAGATTTTCAAAAGAAAAATGAGCACACAAACTTGCAGCTTGTCACTAATCATTAAATAATCAGAAGTATTACATTCATACTGGTTTGAAGATGTATAGCTTTCAAATTGTTTGTCAACTTAGTGGCTAAACAGATTTCTATAGGACCTGGTTATTTGAGGGACTACCTACCTCTTGTAGTTTCTGCCTGTCCTACATGATTTGACCAGAGTTAGCATGGTCCATTGATTAAACAACATCCGTTGGTGGGACCCAGGAAGTGGCCCTTCTCCATCATGGTGCCTGTCCTTGGAATACCACTCCACGTGAGATTCGTATGGCCCTCACACTGGCCTTGCTTAAATAAGCCCTTAAAACCTGGCTCCATCCCCACACCTTGGGTTACAGTGGGTAGTAGGCCCCTTATGGGATGCTTTGATTGTTTCATTGATAGTTGATTATCTCCAGACTCTCTTTTGGACAACACATTCTGTATTTTTATTGTGTTTACTGTTGCATTTTGAAAGCCACCCAGAGTTATACACACTGGGGCAGCCTATAAGCCTAATAAATGAATAAATAATGCCGACTCCCTTTTCTGTAGTGAGTTGCATTCACCTGGGAATTATCTATCAGGATTCACATGCCAGCAGCGTAGAGAATTACTCCTTTTTTCTTGCATGTGTAGCCAATAGTCTACTAGGGGAGAAACAGACTGCTCTTGCCATGAAATGCAATACTGTAGTAGAAATAATTACTAGTAAAAAATGCTTGCCCCTTCCACATTTCTATCTATTTTTGTTTTTCCTTGCTCTAGAAGCTTCATCATCACTAGTGTCTAAATAGACTTCTCTAAATGGGATTCCAAGCACTACTCTTCACATATCTGAAATCGCCAGACAGTGTCTGTAAACCTCTCAGGCAGAATTCTGTAATTTCTCAGTGACTGTCAACCAAAAGCATACTGGAACCAAAATTAAAAGCTTGCAAGAAGACCTTACCTGAATAAGAGGAAAAAGCCATAAATTTCAAAGACCATTCCTATCAGAGGCCAGCCAATAAGGACTATAAATACACCACCTAAGAAGAAACCTGTGGCTTTCATTTTGTGTTTCTGGAAGAAGAATCTGAAGGTTCTTTCTAAACCAATCACGAAAGCCAGGCCAGCCACAAATAAAACCTGCAGGAATCAAAAAGAAAATGAAAACAAAAGTATTTGAATACCGGTCCCAACCTAGTAAATATTCATAGAGAAAATATTCAAATTCAGTATACATTTTCTCATCACATCTATACTACTAATTTGCTATTGGAGGAAACAGGAATATCTTAAAGGTACCTTTTACAAGGTTGGCACAACCAAGAAACACAAGTATTTGTGAAGGAACACAAATAATTTACAGTATAGGCACTTAGGAGTATTATTAACATGGTAGACCAGAGGGGGAAAAAGATGTCTGGATTTCAACAAGACCTTCAACTTAGGTTAAAACATTATAATTGTAAGCTGCCAAGGATTAAATATGGTAATAAATAGGGATGCATAAAACTTACCATTGTAAGAATAGAACCTTCCACCCCAGAAGGCAGGATTATTTTTTTTATACAACTAGTAATAAGTGTATCAATTAAGTAAACTGCCCAGAATTGCTTTTTAATGAGATGGGTGGTGACAAATTTGATATATCAGTAAAATAAATAAATAAAAAGTAATGGCTATCTCACTGGATGACATTTCCCACACTGCTGTATTTTAACATTCAGTTTTGTCTCCTCCCTCCAACAGAAGTCTAGATTAATACAACACACCGAACCTTAAACTTGGCAAAACACAATTCTTGTTCAACCAAAAGATTGTAACCAAACAAGTAAACCATATTAAAACTGAATATAACGGTCTGATTCTTCCACGTCCGAGTTTCTACAACTTGCTGAACCTCAAACTATCCCATCTCATGTTTTTGTCTAGTCTATTGTGTGAATTTGGCCAGAGGGGAGTTACATGGACTTACTTGCATCATCCAACTCAAGTCAAACATAGGCACCTTTAGAATCCTATTATTTTAACAGGACAATTAGAACAAATGCTTACATTTCTTCAGGTAAAATTAAATGAGCTTTCATATTGCTCCCTGCTTGTGTTGTGATGAGATTTCCAGAAAGCTACTGAAAAAAATAGTATTATTCATCTCTCCCATGGAGGACTGGTTACATTGTTCTGGGTTCTGTCCACCACATTCATGCCTCTAAAGCTGAGGTCCTCATGGAAAGAAGAGCCACTTCCTTGGGCTATTTTTTCACTCCACACAAATACAGTGATGGCAGTGCCAACCCCAAGAGCCAGACATTCCACCTAAGCTTTATTTATATAGCGGTAGTATAGGGTGATCCCTAATGCAACGTAAGTGATAGGCAAGATTCTACCCCAAGAATTTACAATCTAAGTATAGATCAGGGATACAGACAGAGAGATGGATGGGAACAAGTTCGTATATGTGTGTATGTATGTGTAGGTGTGTGTATGTATGTATGTACACACATATATACACACTTCAGAAATGGCTAGGCTCATTCGATGATCCTATAAGGCAGTGGTTGGGGGCAGTGAATGGGGTGAGGGGTGGAAGAGTCCTGTTGAGAAGGCTTCTGGTGGTTGTCACTTGGCTTCCTTCTCCCTTCAGGGGTACTTTCCACAGGGCAGTTAGTGGTAATGATAGTGGAACAAGGAGAGGTTAGACTTCTAACTAAATGTTAATGCTAGTGCTGCAACACAGGCTATTACTTAGCTTATCTCTGCTATAACAAATGTTGTCGTTGATATAGATTTATATTCTGCCTTTCCTTCAGGAGCTCAGAATGTTATATATAGCATTCTCTTTTGTCTCACAATCTACCTGTGAGGTACATTAGGGTGAGAGATAATGAATGGCCAATGCTTCTATAGCTGAAAGGGGATTTCAAAGTAGGTCTTCCCAGTTCTAGCCAGCACCTTAATCAGGACACAATACTGGATCCAGTGATTGCTTAATTGTAGTTTTCTATATCTATTCCTGGCTGTTCTATTGTATATTATCCTAAGAACTACTGCGATACAGGGATTAGAGTTGGTTAAGATTAAAGTGATATAAAAGTATTATAAATAATATACAAATAAATCAAGATAATCAATGAAGTGATAAAGCCTTGCAGAAATAACTGCAGCTTTTCAATGCATATGAGATTATAATCTATGAATTAAAGCCAAAAGTTTTATGGAAGAAACAGGTTTTCAGTGCATATGAGATTATAATCCATGAATTAAAACCAAAAGTTTTATGGAAGAAACAGGTTTTGAAAATGACTTGGAAGAAAGAAGACCAGTGTTGTGAGAGTTAATTCCAATGCTAACAGATAGTAAAGAAAAAAATATCATTAATGAGAAACTCATATTGTAGAGCTGGAGAAATAAGATCATAAATGGAGACGTGTCACTAAATTAAGGAAGAAATGGGATGGATAAGGAAGAGGAAGACCAGTTGAGAACAAAAGATCTGCATTGTATTCAGAAGGTATAACAATCTGATGAGAAAAAAATGGGACAAGCTTTCTGGAAGATAGTCCTAAACTACTGAGGCACAAAATATGCTGCTATTATTTTTTCATGCTTTACTATGGAGAACCAAACAGCCAATTAATGGCCCAGCTGTCAATAAAAACATGCAAATGTATATAAGTTCAAAGTGATCCTATGATTCTCCAGTGAGCTTTGGACTAAGTGTAAATGTAACTAACTTAAAATGTCATTTTTCCCATAGTTATTCACCTCCTTTTCCAACCAACAATTTTGTATATTATCTGTATAAATCTGTATGCCCAGATCTGTACTCCATATAAATGTTACTCATGGAAAACCACTTACATTTCCAATAGCTAAAAGTGCTTTGTCAAAAAATAGGATCATTCCAAAGAAAAGGAAAAACACTCCAAAACCTGTAAGACCCATCCCAATTTCTGCAAGACAAAAAGAAGAGGAGTATTAATAACATGGAGCCTTAGCAAGAAAATAAGATATATCTTATATACATATTAAAACACAGTCATAACATTTGCCAAGGTCATTTTTAAACTGGCTCCAATTTTTTAGAAAAATGACACTTACCCTCTTTTGAGATAGAAACATGCTATTTTAAAAGGAGTTATAGTATAATATATAGTATAATATATTTTTGGTTTTGATTACTGCCCCATTTAGTTCAGCATTTTGTCTCTAGAAATAGCCAGTCATTCGTACACTGCTGAACTACAGATTCAGCTGTCACATTTGCAGCTGTAACTGTCCTTTCCCCTTGATTTTTTGGGCGTCTCCCATGACAGCCTCACCCACAAGGTTTCTAAAATATTTGGTAACTGTCTAAAGTAAACAAACTTCCAACCGTTTGTGGTGCTGAGATCCAGAATTCCCATTCAAAGCAGAATTTGTGAGGAAGTATTAAATTCAATTAACATGATCTCTTCTCCCTCAAGTTACTTATCAAACATTTATAAAAAAATGCAGTCCCTGCCAAATTCATTTCTCTAGTTATCTCAGCAGAAGTCTTCTCTGTTCGTGCACAGTCAACTAGAGATATATTGTTGAGCTCTAGAGTCAGCTGTCACTGTTCAAAGCAGTCATGCAACCCTTACAAAGGACATGGCTGCCTTAAAGAGATGTGCTTTGCACTAATGTATCTCTACAAAACATCTCTTTCAAAAACTTTGCAAAGGTCCAATAAGACTGATAGCCATAGGATATCCACAAATGTATATGTATAAGGCTGCTAAAGAAGGGAAGCTTTGTTTTTGTATTTAGTAAAGAAATGCAACTGGGTTCATTTTCTCTCCTCTGTGAACCTCATATAACTTGATTTTGAGGTATAGGAACTGTTAATTCTTCAGGAATATGGAAGTTATATTGTTTCAGCAAAATTCATCTGAATTTAAAATACTTATATTCCAGATACTTTTGGACAACATAAAATCCTCCAGGTTAGTTATTCTGCTTAGTTGACTTGTATAGCAATACATTGCTGAGAAGTATCTGGCTACTACTAGCTATACAGAAATCAGACTGTTCCATAACTCTGGAATAAAACATGGCATTTCTGCAAATCAACAGAGAAATAATATATATGCCTTAAGTAGCGTCTTACCCATGCAGCACTTAGTGCCTTTTTTGACACTATGTCAAAGAAATTCATATTGAGGACATAAAGAGGCATCAGGTTTCTGGCATTAACCCAATTGTAAAGGAAAGAAGGGAGTGAACAGCAGAGTTACTTCAGTATCTGGAATTAACTGCTCCATGGTGACAGTACAGAAGGATGGAGCTCCAAAGAGGGACAAGTATGGGGCATGACATTGCAATATAGATGATGATGCCTCAAACATAGATTAAAAAGACAGCCTAAAGTTTCCTAAGCATGCAATGGATTTCTGTATAATTTGTTGTTTTTCTTTGAAGTTGTAATAAATTTGGCACTAGATCGATTTTCACAATTATGAATTTGCTTCTTTAAGTATGTTCCGTGACATTGCATAACATTCACATTTACATTACTTGAGTAAGCATGCTAAACGTTTTCTTGTGCAACTTTTATGAGTAATAATGGGATCATTTTATTTTATAAGACTTAACCAAGGCAGCACTAATTTATCCAACTGAGATCTGAGTTATCATACACCAAACATAAAAGGATGCATCTATGAACTGCTTATCATAAAAGTATTAATTCTACGAGCATTTACTCAAGTACAGCCAAAAAATTCAGCAGAACTTACTCCTGTGTCAACGTAAACATCGCTGGGAAGCTCACAAGGACAGGTGTGAGATAAATCTATTTCACTGCTACTTCCCAGGAATTGTTATTTAAGGAATCCTAGTTATCATTTAGGATGTAGTATACAGTCATCAAGACAATTGGCCATTGATAGCTCAAGCTGCCACATATTGGTCCAGCTCTCTTTTAATACTATCAGTTTAGACATTATAACATTTCTGGAATCAGAAATCTGTTTTTCCCCTATTAAAGTCTCCATAGCACCAAATATATAAATGTGTAATAAATGATAGCCTGTGCCTTAAAGCAGTTCTGTGTTTAAACACTTCAGTTCAGGTTAGAAGGAACTTCACATGGGCAAAATAATTGGTTGGCAGAGGTGGGAAATTGCTTCCTTTACACTTAGCCAAAGAATTTAGCACTACATCCCTCCTCTGCTAACCCCCAGAAGGCTAAATGCAAACATTTTAATGGATTTTAAAACAAGGTTGCATGTACCCACATCATGCAACTTTTGAATTATACTGAAAATTTCATGTACTTCACAAACATTGATATGCAGACTATTTTCCAATAGAAAAGAATATACGTACGTAGCTCAGGGTTGAACTGTGGAGTCCTTGGTGATCTCTGAGCTTGGTTGTTTGCTTGCAGACATTTCATCACCCAACTAGATAACATCATCAGTGCTAGTGAGTGTGGGGTTTTCTCCCTGATTATATACAGTAGCTTGTCCTGCCAGTGTTGGTGGGGATGTGGCTTTCTCTTTGGTAGTTCCTTGATTAGGGTATATAAACAGGGAGAAAACCCCACACTCATTAGCACTGATGTTACCTAGTTGGGTGATGAAATGTCGGCAAGCAAACAACCAAGCTCAGAGATCACCAAGGACTCTGCAGATTATTTTGAACATATGGCAAGAGTACACTTACTATCTTAAAAAATAATAATGTTCATTTTCCTGCAAGCTCAGCTTGGATGACTTTATGCCAGCCTTCCTTCCTTAATCCAGAGCCTTCCAAATGAATTGGGCTTCACATCCCAAATCCACCTATTAAAATCCAATACAGCTGGAGGGCCCGAGGGCGGAGAACAGTGTCTTAAGCACTCAGCAATTAGGGCACGTCTGATGCTTCATATAAAAGCCACCATCTCCACTTTTTATAACAGGACAATGGTACAGTAACGGTGGTAGGAATAATACTACCACGTGGGAGGTTGTGAAACAGTCACCCACCCCAAAATAACAACTGCAGTATTAGCAAATGATAATAATGTTTTTAAAAAAATATCCTCAAGCCGAACTCCACTCTTGTTGACTGCACGGTGGCAACCGTGCAGCTTTTTTCGTTACTGCCGCCTTCTAGGATTTATTTTCCAGCTTCCAGACGGGGGCTTCCTGGAGGTCTCCCATTCCAAGCCCGACCCGGGTGCTGCTAAAATCAGTAACACTAACACTAATAACAATCATCATCACCGTAGGAGAGCAATAAGGGGCTTGTGAAGTAGAGCGGCAAGGACAAAACTAAGAAGGAAGGCGCCAACGGTGATGGGAATGCTAACAATCGTTATTACAGAAGCATCAGGAGCAGCAGCAGCAGCATTTGGCCCCCGCCTCCCCTCCCCCAATTCACCCACTCTGCGTATCCGTGAGGGAAATCATGATGTCGGTGGGAGCCGCGCCAGCCGGACAAAGAACCGAGGAGAAGCCGGAGCCGCCTCAGGAGCGCCAGGAGTAGTCGCCACGTCCTCCGGAAACACGCAGCCCCCTGATTACCC